TCCCGCACCTCGGCTGCTCCTACGAGACCAACGGCAGCCCCTACCTCCTGCTCCAGCCTGCCAAGAAGGAGATGATCCGGATCCGGCCTTACGTGGCTTTGTACCACGATTTCATCAGCGATGCCGAAGCTGAGACCATCAAGGGGTTGGCAGGGCCTTGGGTGAGCCGTCCCTGTCCCCAGGGATGTCCCTCTTCTGGAGGAAGGTGCCCTAGGACCTGGCGGTCCAGGGTGGACCACCCTGAGCATGCAGAGATAGGAGGGGTTTTAAGCCAGGGCTTAGCCAAAGCCTTCTCCAGGCTGGAGGGTGATGAGCCCAGCTTGGCTCCATCTGAGCCCCCCAAAGGATTGTGGGGAGAAACCAGGTCCATGCATGCACCTAAGCCCCTTCCCAGCCAGCCTTGACTTGGTGAGACCCAACTGCATTGGATCCAACTGCTATCACTGCTTCCATCACCATGGTGGGACACCTTGGGGTGGGGACATTTGGCAACCAACTGGTACAAACCCGTCAATGTGGACCCCATCCAGGGTCCCTGCTTGCTGTGGGGGTCCCCATCTGCAGCAACATCCCCCCCCACCATGTGTCCTCCAGCTGCAGAGGTCCGTGGTCGCCTCTGGGGAGAAGCAGCAGAAAGCCGAGTACCGGATCAGCAAGAGGTAGAAGCCACCCACACCCCTTGTCCTCCAGCCAGTGGGACCACCATGGCCCCATTGCCACCCACCAAGGTGGCAGTGAAGCCATGCTGGGGAGGCCTGGGTCCTCCACACCCAGAAGTGCCATGAGGGTTAAGCCCAGCTACACGTGACTTTGGTGGGGCTGAAGGTGGGGTGCCTCCGCAGTGCCTGGTTGAAGGACACCGCCGACCCGGTGGTGCGGGCCTTGGAGCAGCGCATCGCTGCCGTCACCGGCCTGGATCTGCGGCCACCCTACGCTGAGTACCTGCAGGTGGTCAACTATGGGTTGGGAGGCCACTATGAGCCACACTTCGACCATGCCACGGTCAGGGAGCTGCTTGGGTGGTCCTTGGGTTGGTCATGGGGTGGTTCCCGTGGTGCTCTTGGGACGGTCCTTGGGGTGAGCCTGGGATGGTTCCTGGGGTGGTCTTTCAGATGGTCACCAGGGTGGTCCCTGGGATGTTTGTGGAAATGGTCCCTGGGGTGGTCTTTATGGTGGTCTCCGGGCTGGTCCCTCAGACGTTCCTGGGGTGGTCCCCAGGGTGATCTCTGGGCTGGGCCCTCAGATGTTCCTGGAGGTGGACCCTGGGATGGTGCCTGGGATGTTCCTGGGAAGGGAGGGAAGGAAAGAGGGAGGAAAAGAAGGGAGAGCTTTCCCTGGGGGCAGCTCAGTGCTGCTGGCTCTGTTAGAGCGTGAGGTGCCTCCAGGCCAAGCCATATCAGCTTGGGACTGACTGTCCCCAGGGGACTGACTGTCCCCACCTCCTCGCTCTTGGGGCAGTCCAGGAAGAGCCCCCTTTACAGAATGAAGTCAGGCAACAGGATCGCCACCGTCATGATCTACGTGAGTCCCCTGCCATTTCCGGGCCTAGAGAGACCGCACTCGCATGGTCATCAGTAGGGTTCAGAGTGAACAGGGTTGCAGATGGGTGAAGGCAGCCCTGAATCAGGCCGTGGTGGGGTGTTAATGACAGTGAATGCAGAGTATTTAAGAGCTTGTGCCATGTCATAGGGAGGGAAGTGCTGGGGGGGAGGAGCAAGGGAGGTTCCGTGCCTCGGTTTCCCCACACAAAGCAGCCATATCACAGGGGAAGGGGGAGGTAGGGCCATGGCTTATATTTTTGCTCCTTTTCCAGCTGAGGGCGGTGGCGGCCGGGCG